GTAAAATTAGGTGACTCGGCTTATATTCGGGTCAGCTTATACTCGAGTATATACGGTAAGTTTTAGTGGTGTAGCCATTTTAATGTATTTAGAGTCGTTGGGTAATGAGTTGGTAATGAGTTTTCTTCAGCACTGTGGGTTAAAAGCATGGTTTTGGGTTCTCAGGGTATAAGCTGGGGCCACACAGTCCCCATCTCAATGTACAATATGGGTCAAATGTGGCCAGCCTCTAATAATGGAATTTATCATTCTGGACACGGATAAAAAACATAGCCATAAATACAGCTTAATGGTGTAACATTAGAAAATGTTCACCATTTCCACTACCTTGGCAGCCACCTCTCCACAAAAGTCAACATTGACACTGAAATTCAACTCCGCCTGAGCTCTGCGAGTGCAGCATTTTTCCAAATGAAGCAGAGTGTGTGTGAGGACCGGAACATCCATAGGGATTTTTTTTGTTGTGTCAGGAGCGACCTGAGAAACTGCAAGTCGTTTCTGGTGTGAGAGAATTGGCCGTCTGCAAGGACGTTGCCCAGGGGACGCCCATGATTTGATGTTTTTATCATCCTTGTGGGAGGCTTCTCTCATGTCCCTGCATGAGGAGCTGGAGCTGATAGAGGGAGCTCATCTGCCTCTCCCTGGATTTGAACCTGTGACCTGTCAGTCTTCAGTCCTGCCGGCACAGGGGTTTAACCCACTGCACCACCGGGGGCTCCATCCATAGGGATACCAAGGTGCTTGTTTATAAAGCTATTGTCCTCCCAACTCTGCTATATGCCTGTGAGATGTGGACTATCTACAGACATCACCAGCAACTCCTGGAACGATTCCATCAGCACTGCCTCCAAAAAATCCTGCAAATCTCTTGGGAAGACAAGCGGACAAATGTCAGCATCCTGGAAGAAGCAAAGACCACCAGCATTGAAGTGATGGTCCTCCACCATCAACTCCATTAGACTGGCCATGTTGTCCGGATGCCCGACCACCGTCTCCCAAAGCAGTTGCTCTACTCCGAACTCAAGAATGGAAAACGGAATGTTGGCGGGCAGGAAAAGAGATTTAAAGGTGGGCTCAAAGCCAACCTTAAAAACTCTGGCATAGACACTGAGAACTTGGAAGCCCTGGCCCTTGAGTGCTCCAGTTGGAGGTCAGCTGTGATCAGCAGTGCTGCGGAATTTGAAGAGACACGAATGGAGGGTGAAAGAGAGAAATGTGCCAAGAGGAAGGCACGTCAAGCCAACTGCGACCGGGACCACCTTCCACCTGGAAACTGATGCCCTCACTGCGGGAGAAGATGCAGATCAAGAATAGGGCTCCACAGTCGCCTACGGACCCACCGCCAGGATACTATACTTGGAGGACCATCATCCTCGGACTATGAAAAGTAAAGTAAGTAAGAAAACATAGATAGTGAACATGAGGCATAATCCAACCTTCCAAAAATCATTCCTTCTATTGGAGACCTTCAGAGTATACCCTTCAAATGCACTCTATCATATCTTACACACACACACACTTGATGTACGCCATGGTTAGAAATGGAAAGGAAAGAACTGCCTTTCTCCAGTGCTGGATTCCTGCATGTCTGGAGTGCGACTGATAAGTGGAATGGATTTTCTTCCGTAGCCACTCAAAAGTAGGAGAGAGCAGTGCTGCTGAAATGAGATCTGACACTCTTTTTCCTTTGGAATCTTTAGAAGGCAGCGGCCGTTTTGAGATATATATAGTGAGTTCCGACTGGAAGTTCAGTCTGTTAGGACAGTTAGTTCCTCTACTGGATGAAATAGACTTTGACTCCATGCCCAACTCCAGAAGTGGGATTCAACATCTGACTTTTATTTTTAATTTCGCCCTAAATTCAAGTACTTGTCCCAAATAGCGGAGACTGGTCCTGTTGAATTCGTCTTTGAATGCTAAGCCAACGCTGATGTACCTTTCATTGGGTCAATGGGTCTACTTTGGTTTGATCAGGCAAAGAGTCTGTTCTACTCTTAAGTGTAGTCTGTAAAGGCACTTACCAAGGAGCTGGATGACTCAACATCTTTAATAGCACCTTCAAAATTCAGACTACATTCCACAACAGATTCAGCGATAGAGAAAGACCTGACTATAACTGTGTTTGTTTGTTTCTCAGTTGTTAGACTGATGTACCTGGTTATCTCTCTGAACTGTTAGGAACAAAGATATGCCAATGCATAAAATATACAGCAGATATTCAGAAGTGTTATTTAGATTACCCAAAAATACATCTACTCTCCCATTAAATATACTTCTTTTAAATCATGCTCTTAAGAGACCAAAAATAAATAGTCTTCATTAAAAGTTAATATAGTTGAATTACTTACAAACTTCATGTGTTTAGCATACAGGTACGTTGCTTATTGGTTTCATGTTAGCAGAATTATACTTAAAACTGTACTATAATTTTATGTTATTTTGTACTGTTTATTTTATTTGATTGGTTTATTTATTTTATTGTGATGTTATTTTGTTGTTTATATTTTATGTTGCTGTAATGTATCGCTGGGCTTGGCCTCATGTAAGCTGCTCTGTGTCCCCTTTGGGGAGATGGCAGCGGAGTATAAATAAAGATTATTGTTGTTGTTGTTATTATTATTATTATTGTATTGTCGAAGGCTTTCATGGCCGGAATCATTGGGTTGTTGTAGGTTTTTCGGGCTATATGGCCATGGTCTAGAGGCATTCTCGCCTGACATTTCGCCTGCATCTATGGCAAGCATCCTCAGAGGTAGTGAGGTCTGTTGGAACTAGGAAAAAGGGTTTATATATCTGTGGAATGACCAGGGTGGGACAAAGGACTCTTGTCTGCTGGAGCTAGGTGTGAATGTTTCAACTGACCAGCTTGATTAGCATTTGATGGCCTGGCAGTGCCTGGGGCAATCTTTTGTTGAGAGTTGATTAGATTATTTGTCCCAGATTGTTTCCTCTCTGTTGTTTTGCTGTTGTAATTTTAGAGTTTTTAATCGCTCCAGCAGACAAGAGTCCTTTGTCCCACCCTGGTCATTCCACAGATATATAAACCCTTTTCCCCTAGTTCAAACAGACCTCACTACCTCTGAGGATGCTTGCCATAGATGCAGGCGAAATGTCAGGAGAGAATGCCTCTAGACCATGGCCATATAGCCTGAAAAAACCTACAACAACCCATTATTATTATTATTATTATTATTATTATTATTATTCTGTGCTCTACTTCAATTGACTGTACTATACATCTGCTGCAAACAGACTCATATATTAACTAACATCTGACTATACTCCTGCTCTAACATCAACAAACCTCAATTGACTTCTGACTTACAACTGACCCAAACCTCAACTGACTTCTAACTTAACTGACTCCAACTGACTTATGAACCAAGCACATTCCAAAATGGAATCTCACTCTGAACATTCTAAGATCAGGGTCACATGGTTGGTAGTCCCACCCACAACCTCTAACAACATAGAGTTAAGGAGAAAACTGCATACCAGTATATACATATGTCATGACTCGTACCTTGGTAGGCCGAAGCCGAAGCCTAGAAGTCAGTAAGCTGGCCTCCATGTTAGGAAGGTAGTACAGTGAGGCAGACATCTTAGGAGAGGCAGATCAGCAGAGGGAAGGAGCTCAGCTATCCCAGGATTGGCTAAGACAAGTGGGAGGAGCCGGAGCTGTGAGTGTAAAAAGGCAGGCAGCATCTGACAGAGAGAGAGATTGGATTTTGATCTGAAGGGAAGCGGGTGGATTTCTAGTGAGCTCAAGTTTTCCTGTGAGAGAGTGTTTGGGGGCAAGTGTGTCTATAGGGATTGACCTGGAGGGTCAAGATAGACACCCGTGGACTTGTGTGAGTGTTAGAACACAAGTTGGTTTTACTCTCTAGGGGACAGGGTATCTTAGCTATTAGGGATCTCTGTGAAGAGGGAAGCTCAATACTCTGGGGACAGCCAGGATTGGTGTGTCAGAGGGACTCACTGCTAGTAGGTATAGAGTAGAGTGAGGGAACTTGCTCACGTTAAAGAAAAGAAACCCAGTTAAGGAAACCATCAAGCTTGTTAAAACCAAGGAACCATTTAAGAAGATTGTGCTTTGTTAACCAAATACGCTTGTGTACCTCAAAGAAGAAGTTAGTTGTGTGTTCAAGTATACAAATAAACTTTGTTCTAGTTCAACCTTCAAAGCAGCCTCAGCATTGAATCATTCCAGTAATTTTTAACATCTTTTTACCTCAGACATTTTAAAGGGAGTTAAAGGGAGGGCTGGTGAACAACAGGATTTACCTCAGGCATAACATCAAGATAATTTCTCAAATCCATCTGAGTGGTGGCAGCAACTATACCAATACACATTTACGTTTCCTCAACACATATCAAAACACTTTGGGACAGGATTGTGTTGGTGTCCAGTTGGAGCCGTAGTAATCAAAAATCCTTTACACTGATTCTTCAAAGTGGTAACCAGCTGTGTGCTATAGAGCAGCTGAAGGAACGTGTGTGTGTGTGTGCTAGGGGATATATTAGTGAAGTATTATTCCCCTGGAGCCTGACTACATTATAACATACAATCTAGTAAACAATCTCAATTATATACATAACAAATAACTAATATAGGAGGCTTGTAGAAGGTTGCTATTTCCAACAGTTTGAGCATTAGTCTCCAGTCGTCCATTGGGAAAAATACCAGGTATAGCCTAGGACCATTTCATGCACTTCCAGGATCTCCCCAATATTGTTTGGTTGCTAGTTAATGTGGCCCTACTGAGCCATAAAGTGTGCCAAGTAACCTTAGAGTAGTCAATTTCTCTCTATCTTTCTCATATCAGTCTACCCTACCTCAAAAGGTTGTCTGAGGAAGAAGAGCATTATGTGAATTCCTTGGGTGACAGATGGGAGGTGGATGTAACAAAAGATAATACATGATCACTCTCTCTACTTATCTATTTATAGCACCAGACCAGACACAACCAGTAAAGAATCATTTGTTTGCTTCTTGGCAGGCTCTTTGAGACGCTCCAGTCGCTCTTTTGGTCTGTGTTTGGCCTCTTGAACCTCTACGTCACCAACGTGAAAGCCAGGCATGAATTCACAGAGTTTGTCGGGGCAACCATGTTCGGCACTTACAACGTCATCTCCCTGGTGGTCCTGTTGAACATGCTCATTGCAATGATGAACAACTCCTACCAGCTCATTGCCGTAAGTCAACACAGTGATTTCCATTATTATTTTGGATGGAAGTGTGCATTTTGTAAGTTGTACATCTGTGACTACATCTACACTTTAGAATGACTGCAGTATGATACCACTTTACCTGTCATGGCTTGATGCTATATAATCCTTGGAGTTTAGTTTTACAAGGTTTTTAACCTTCTATGCCAAACGGAGAGCTGGTGTCTCACCAAGCTACAAATCCCAGGATTCCATAGCATTGAGCCATGGCCATTAAATTGATTTCAAGCTACATTAATTTGACAGTATAGATCAGGGGTCCTCAAACTATGTCCCGGGGGCTGGATACAGCCCTCCAAGGTCATTTACCCGGCCCTCGCTCAGGGTCAACCTAAGTCTGAAACGACTTGAAAACACACAATAACAACAACAACAATCCTATCTCATCAGCCAAAAGCAGGCCCACACTTCCCATTGAGATACTAATAAGTTTACATTTGTTAAAATTGTACTTCATTTTAATTATTGTATTGTTTTTAAGTGTCTTTTCCACTACAAATAAGATATGTGCAGTGTGCATAGGAATTCATTCATGCTTTTTTCAAATTATAATCTGGCCCTCCAACAGTTTGAGGGATTGTGACCTGGCCCTCTGTTTAAAAAGTTTGTGGATCTCTGGTGTAGATGTATCCAAGGTTACTGGTGACATCACAGAGGGTGGACCAGTCTCTGCTGCTTACTTGAAGAACTGTAACTTTTTTTCTCCCAAGTTCAATTCAGAGGAAAATATAGCCAGAATTCTACATCCACTACATAGTTATTAGCTTCCTCAGTTACATAGCTGAGTAAATTCATCTGACTTGATTCCCACCCTCCTTCCCATTTTGGCTTATTGGGCAGCAGCCACTGTGAGTGACAGAGATCGCCAAGAGACTGATGTTTCCATCCCTCTCCCAAAAGCAATATCCAGTATGACTATCAGAATCAGGATCCTTTTTGTAACTAATTGCATCAGGACGGGATGAAAACATTAGTCTGCTGTAGTTTTATCAACAGGAGAATAGATCCCTGTCACTTGCAGCAGCTGCTGTCTAATAAATCGAAATATGGGTGTGTCTACAATCTCTATATATGCCTTACACTATTGAATGCATAGGAATTGTGAACTCGCAACTCCAAGTTATGCATTTGTAACTGTGATATTGAATTCCATCCACAATCTCTATATATTCCTTACACTATTGAATACATGGAGCTCCCAGTGGCACGGTGGGTTGAAGCACTGAGCTGCTGAGCTTGTTGACCAAAAGGTCACAGGTTCGAATCCAGGGAGCGGTGTGAGCTTCTGCTGTCAGCTCCAACTTCTGCTAATCTAGCAGTTCGAAAACATGCAAATGTGAGTAGATCAATAGGTACCGCTCCGTCGGGAAGGTAATGGTGTTCCGTGCAGTCATGCTGGCCACATGACCTTGGAGGTGTCTACAGACAACGCCGGCTCTTTGGCTTGGAAATGGAGATGAGCACCATACCCCGGAGTCGGACACAACTGGACTTCATGTCAGGGGAAAACCTTTACCTTTACCTATTGAATACATAGGAATTGTGAACTCTTAATTCTAAGTTATGTATTTGTAACAGTGATATTGAATTCCATCCTTTAAAAAAACCCAATACAATAGAGCAAATTGTAATCTAGACTCACAACCTCCTTTTCCTGAGCGCTCTTCCTACAAAGGTTACTTTGCTTCTTCATAACTTCCCAATTTCCAAATCACCCAATTTCTTTCCAAGAGAGATGTATATGACCATACCCTGATGAACAAAGTATAATTGGAGTTATGTCACAGTTATGTAACATCAGCTCATTAGAGAATTGTGGACAATTTTGGAGTATTTCCGAATTCCGGATAAGGGATGCTTCAACTGTTTTCCCAGAAGAGTGGCCAGTGTGTTGTCTGCAAGGGTGCTTTTCCTCTCTAAATATCTTCCAAAAGGTGACACTTGGCTGGGTGACTGCAGACGGTGTGTGTCACAATGGCACTAAAAGGGCAGTGAGATTTATCTCCAAAAAGGAAGGCTGGCTGACTGACTGACTCCATTACTCACAGGAAGCAACAGGGTGGATAATGAGAATGGCTGATAGGATGCATTATTTCTCTCCCTGTCATTCTGTACCAGGGCCTTGGGAGAGCTAATGTCTGTGTACAGATTCGGACTGGGAAAACTCAAGCCTGAAGAGGGTACATTTGGAAATCAAACAACTGCTCAGGAATCTTTTTGTTCCTTATTTGGAACTCCTTCCAAATGTTAATATATTTTCACAGAAATGAAAAGAGAAACCTTTTGAAATCATTCTTTTTAACTCACACAATTTTTGATATGTAACACAACATTCTGGCCCAATTTACCTGTTCGAACGCATCTCCCCTTACGAACCACCGAGGACGTTAAGACCATCTGGGGAGGCCCTGCTCTCGGTCCCGCCTTCGTCACAAGTACATCTGGCGGGGACGAGAGACAAGGCCTTCTCAGTGGTGCCCCCTCGGCTATGGAACGCCTTCCTTAAGGAGATTACATCGGCTTCTTCACTCTTAACATTTCAGAAAAAAATTAAGACATGGCTGTTTGAGCAAGCATTTGCAAATATTGAGTAATGGACATAGGAAAATGGAACAACTGTACGACGGAATTGGACAATGTTTTTGTTATTGAGGATTTACTGACTTTACAATTAAAGTAAGTAAATAAATAAACATACAAGGACCCTATCTATAGTGCTGTATAATGCAGTTCAATGCAGTTAAGCTGCATTATATGAGTCTACACTGGCCATGCAATGTAGTTTCAAGCAGCATGATATGGTAGTATAGGTGGCAAAAAGTCTAAGCAACAGAAAACAGTGGCAATGCACTTATTACAAATTAAAAAGGTAGATTGAACTAAACTAAAGGTGGGTTGGGCCCTCTGGTTTTTTTGTCGTGTCAGGAGCGACTTGAGAAACTGCAAGTTGCTTCTGGTGTGAGAGAATTGGCCATCTGCAAGGATGTTGCCTAGGGGATGCCCGGATGTATTGATGTTTTACCATCTTTGTGGGAAGCTTCTCTCATGTCCCCACATTAGGAGCTGGAGCTGATAGAGGGAGCTCATCCGTGCTCTCCCCAGATTCAAACCTGTGACCTGTCAGTCTTCAGTCCTGCCAGCACAAGGGTTTAACCCACTGTGCCACCGGGGGCTCAGTAGTCCAGCGGGTTAAACCGCTGAGCTGCTGAACTTGCTGAACGAAAAGGTCAGTGGTTAATAACTGGGGAGCGGGGTGAGCTCCCGCTGTTAGACCCAGCTTCTGCCAACCTAGCAGTTTGGAAACATGCAAATGTGAGTCAATCAATAGGTGCCACTTCTGCGGGAAGGTAACTGCACTCCATGCGGTCATGCTGGCCACATGACCTTGGAGGTGTCTACTGACAATGCCTGCTCTTAGAAATGAAGATGAGCGCCATCCCCTGGAGTCAGACACGAAAACCTTTACCTTTACTAAGGGTGGATCTACAATGCAGAACCTTTACCTTTACTAAGGATGGATCTACAATGCAGAATAAAAGCAGTTCCTGTGGAACAATGGGAGTTGTAGTTTTACAAGGTCTTATTTGCCAAAGAGTGTTGGTGCCTCACCAAACTACAACTCTGAGGACCCCATAGTATTTAGCAATGGCACTTAAAGTGGTGCCAAACTGCACTCATTGTAAGCATGCCATGTAAGAAGAAGGCACATTAACCTCCGCATATTTTGCCTTCTTCCTTTGGGAAGCAGTTCAGATCCAACCCACAAGTCAGTTGTGTTGTGAGCCCCTGGAAGAGCTAAAATAATCCAACCAAGGGAATTGGAGCTTTACTAATTGAAATCCGGGGATGATCCCTGCTGCATAAAGTTATCCTTATGTGATTGCATGAGCTCCAGTTCATCTTGGTGATGCCACTCTTTTAAGATGTACCCAACCTTTGGGTAAGACTCATCAACAGAATGGCTTCCCTTTGGGTGCCTGGAGAGGGACCAAAACACCCAGAAGAAGCCATAAAAGAAGCCACCCCAGTGCACTGAGTCAGACCTGACAAGCAAAATTAATGTTCGCTCTCGCTGCAAAATTAATTAAAGCCAAATCAAATACAGAAGGAAAACCAGCCCTGCTCCCCCTCTGAGTTCCTTTTGCAAACTTTTCTTCCTTGCTCCCAAAAGAGAGGGAAAAAAGAAAGAAAGGATGGGTATAATTAAAGAGATCTGCCTGGGAAATGGGCCAAACGTGAAAGGAGAAAGCTAAAAATAATATAGAAGAGACATAATCGGCACCAGCTCTTCTTCATCAGGGTCGGGCAAAATCGATGCGCTCCGGAGCCCAATGGCGCCTCTAAAATTGGTGATGAAGGTGAGAACTTTAAAGGGTGCCACACTTTTTTGCCGCACTCCATTGCCCATAAGCCTCAGCATTACCAGCCAAGGATGGAGTCCCCGGTAGCGCAGTGGGTTAAACCCTTGTACCGGCAGGACTGGTGACCGATAGGTCAACGGTTCGAATCTGAGCACGAATGAGCTCCCTCTGTCAGCTCCAGCCCCCCCACGCGGGGACATGAGAGAAGCCTCCCACAATAATAATAATAATAATAATAATAATAATAATAATACTTTATTTGTACCCCGCTACCATCTCTCCAAGGGACTCAGTGCGGCTTACATGAGGCCGAGGCCGAATACAACAATACAAGCAAAACAACAACAATACAAGCAATTAAAATAAAACATAGATAATAAAATATACAACATTATCAATAAGACAATATGCAATTAAAAACAGTGGGAAGGCCAAATGTAAAGTTAAAATGGAAATAAAGCTGGGACATGGACGGAAGGTGATAGTGGCGTTTGTGGAAGGGCATACGAATAGATCTAAAAAATGTAAAGTGCTTTGGAGGACAAAGTGCTATAGGATCATTATTCCGGGAAGGCACACTGGAACAACCACGTCTTCAAGCTCCTC